GATCGAACCACCAACCTTCCGATTGGGGGACGACCCGCTCTACCTCTGAGCCACAGCCGTAAAGCATAAGAATAAAACAAAGGAAAAGCGACAGTTGGCTAAAGGGAATAGATACGTTTTCACTTGTTGTTTAAAAATGTTCACAGAGCTCGCATCTCCCATAGCCTTAGCTGGGGAATTCCATAGTTTGGGTGCATGGTTAAAAAAATGGTTGTGTGGTAGGTCGTATAAGGATCTGAGAGGCCATAAAGGATTATAAAAGGAGAATGAATGAATGAATAAATGAATGAATAAACGTAGGCCCAAAGCAGTTAAGTGCAGCTGGACAACAGTCAGCCTGGTGCTCAATGAAGGCTGACCGGTGTATCAGCTGATGGTGACCTTTCTTTCACAATTGCTCCTCAAGTAAATATGTAGTGTGTCAGAGGGAACAGCATGTACCAGGTACACAAGGTCAAACGTCTGACTGTACATTTTCTCTTTTCTTTGGCAGAATGACGTGGTTGTGTCTTGGCGTCCCTCGTCTGAGTTCCCGGGGAATGTGTAAGAAGGCTTCTCTTTTTCTTCCTCATCTAGTTTTGGTTTCATTACCAGTCGAACACAGTAATATAATCTGTATATAGTAAATAGAAGAAGACTTTGCTGTTGTGCTAGTGTAAAGGGAAACATAAGGATAACAGTCAGTTTTTTTTTATAATGCTACCTGTACTGCATAGCATAGCAAACTGTGCCCATACAATTAAGTTGTTTCCCAGCAAGATATCTGTCAGAAATAATCTTGTGGCCAAGATTTTGGGTTAGTTAGATTTTATTATTTTTACATAATATTTCAAAAGTATCATTTTTAGCTGCTTCCAGAAGGTACAGTTGAGATGCCTTGCAGTACGTCACATACCTGTGGTCTCCTACAACTTTAGGAATTTGGATCAGGACACATCAGGGGCACAACATGACAGTAGAATTACACTTTCATTTTCTTCTGCATGATATTTTTTTAGGAAATAAAGGGTAAATACTGTGTATTATCATCATATCATTTTTATCTTTAAGGAAGGTGTGGTCTAAAAATGGACCATGTGCTGTCAAGTCGAGTATCATTCATTCTGTTCATATTCTATAACCCAATATAGGGAAATTACAGAATGATTTGCTATTATTAGATGGATCTAATACAAAAAGAAATCATTTTTTTAACTTGTTTTTTGTACTTTTATTAGTTAGAAATAGGAAATGGAAAAAACATTCTATGGACTGAAATTAATTTTAATATTTAATGTGTCTGATTTGTGTGTTGCTGTTTTTTCTTCTTTTCTAAAAAACCCTAACCCTAAATTTTGGTGATGGGGAAAACTGGCATGTCTATTTTCAAAGACATCCCTTGACCCTTGACCCCTGACCTTAAAATATCTGAAGAAAATGGGTTCTATGGGTACCCACAAGTCTCCCCTTTATGCTATGCATTCAGTTTTGGGCAAAAAGCATGCAGTTTGTAGTATGCCGTGTGAATGTGTTACTTTTGCCTACTGTATTTGAATATTTGTGCATTCTGGGCTCCATAAACAGTGTTGGCATTGCATAAATGGGATATTACTGAAAGCTGAAACTTTTGAGGGTCCAGTGAGCCCAATTGTGTTTATGTGTGATGATGTTCTTCCCCATAGTATCCATTTCATTGTAGGGAGACATTTTGAAACTTGACCTCACTGTATCAAATGACTATTGTGATCACAATATCACAGCCTCATGAAACTGTGCAACCACAAACTAGAGGCCGAACATGGATGGCTTTCCTATCTATATTGACGCCACTGATGTATCGCCATATTTTAGTAACTGCACACTTGGCAGAAATTGAAAGGAAGTTGACATTATCATCCAAATCTGATGATAATGTTGATTTTTGAATTCCACATTGAATATGAAAAGAACAAATGATACACAGATTAGTAATCAGCAATGTTTTAGTTTTTGTCAAGGCTTGAAACAAAGTAGCAGAGTAGAAGAAATGTTGTGTTTATCTGTGCACAGGGGTTAAATCATTTGACTTTCCAAGAATGTAAAAATCTAATTTCACAGCAGAGTCATGCCTTAATAATCTGCTCTCCTGACTGTCTGACTTTCTCTGCAGTTATAAGGGGGAGGGTATTGTCAGTGGCAGCCTGGAGAAAGTGTGGGAGTGTCTGAAACCAGTACCCAACGGGCTCAGAGTCAAGTGGGACAACAATGTCAAAAAGTTTGAGCTTTTGGAACAAATCACAGAGGTGTGTTAACTAATTTCCCTCTTCTGATCTGAGGATGTTTTTGCCATGATCATTCTGTATTAGTTAACCCAATTTTCACTTCATACAGTCAGATTTCTTTCAGTTTCCATTAAAGATTGTCTGAGTTCTTTTTAAAGCTGCACTGGGTGCTTTAACATGTTGATGGCTTCAAATGGCAGCAACAGTGTACAGTCTATATTTTGACTTTCTTTCTTGTTTGCTTATTTGCCAGTTACCATGCCCATCTCATGGAATTTGAGGATTCAGTTAGGACAAATCTACGTACATTTAATTTAAATTAAAATCTTGTCCGGTGCAGCTTTAAATCCATGTGTGTGATAGCAGTAGGGATGGGGATCGATACCTGGTTCTATTATTAATGTCTAAGCCTATCGATACTGCTATCAAGACTATGATTCCTTCATAACTCGATCACTAAAAATCATCTATGCAAATTCTTTGCATCAAGGCTATGTTTAATCCATATGACTATATAAAGCCATACAGCGCAATGTGTTTAGCGCCGCTGATTACTGTCACACAACACACTTTGGACAGAAAAAAGGCAAGTGGCAAAGAGGAGAGACAGACCAGAGAAAACAAGAGCGTCCAAAGTTTGGGATCATTTCAAGCAGAAACAAAAGGAAAACTCTATACAGTGTCTGTAAAACCAAACTAAGACACTGTAGTAACATTAATGTTACATAAACAGGGACTTTATATTTATTTTTGTGACAGCAAACACACACACACAGCCTTTAAGTAACTATTGTACTGCAACCTGAAATAAACTACACACTTTATGGCTGACTAAATTAACATAACTACTCCTCACACACCATCACAGGTTACCCAAAATCCCACCTTTCTTAAAGGGGAAGACTGGGCTGGTAACACAGGTGCAGTTAGGCTGTGGGTGGAGGAAGGATCAGATCCTTTACTGAAGTAAAAGTACTAATACCACAGATTAAAAGTACTCCACTACCAGTACAGTGGGGGGACAACAGATGCCTCTACTGCTGAAAATAATCCCAGAGGAAACTCTGAAAACAATTTAAAAGACCTGTCTTATTTTCTCTATTATATATTTACTATTGCTCTAGTCCTATTACTGCTTTAATGAAGCAAAAAGTATTTCTTATCCGATTATTCAATGGAATAACCAATAGAATACTTGATTACTTAATTAATTGAAAGCTTCAGCCCTAGTCTCGAGAGACAATGACATCAGTCATGTCATTTAAATCAAATCACTGATGCACAAACACATCGATTTGTCTAATAAAATCTTTGAATTCAATTGAATTGCTTGCCAAATGCAGTTAAGCACAACCAGATCTGTTAACAATTTACTGTTGTCTCGTCTTGAATAGAATAGAATGAAAATGAATAGAAAAGTATCGATGGTGGTATTGATAAAGACTCAGACTAAGACTCACTCAGATCATTAAGCAATCTCAAACATGTTATCATTATCAATAAAAACGAACGATCCCTTTCCCTAGATACCAGAGGTGATATCTATTTTTGCTTTTGCTTTGTTGGACTCAGTCTTTGAGTACATTCCCTTGTCTCCCACTCTTGCACAGGACATCTCTATCTGCCGAACAGTCACGCCCTCAGCAGCTATGGGTATCATAGCTCCACGAGACTTTGTAGATGTTATTTTAGTTAAGCAATACGAAGATGGCACCATTTCATCAAATGGTGCGTAATGACTTATTCTTGTCTCCTCTACTTCCTGTACTTGTTTCTTTTGTGCTCTCTAAGATTTCTTTATGCCACGGAGTAGGGGCTGGACTGTGTGTACTTGCAGGAGTGATTGGATGCAAGGCTGAGATTTTACAATGCTGAGGATACACAGACCTCCCAATATAAAAAACACACTGCATTGTGGTGCTGCTTTACAGTAATTGGAAGCACTGCCATTTTCAGACAGGTTGGAAACAAAGCCAAACTTATTTTAAAGGGATAGGGCTTTTTGAAGTAGGGTTGTATGAGGTATCTATCCATAGTCATTGTAGACAGAGGTCAGCGCACCCCCGGTTTGTAGAAGCAGACAGGATTACTGGCACAGAAGCAGAGCAATGCATTGCTTTCAATGGGGGCAAGGCAGCAAGACAGCAGGTAAAGCTGTGAAATATAGCATACTAAACTGATTTTTTTTAGGTGGGCCTCTCTTTAAGTGGCTAAAATATGTTTTCCCACCACCATCTACTGTAGGTAACAGACTGACTATGGATAAATACCTTATACAACCCCACTTCAAAATATCCAAACTATCCCTTTTAAAGACAAAACAAAGATGAACTGTAAATTGTTACTCAAATGTCCGTTGTAAACATCCATCACAGTTAAGAGGCTCACAGATCAACTGTTGGCTTGTTTACAACCCCACTTACAGTCTGACCGCTAGTGTTTCTTGCCCCGTTGGACTTTGTTGCAGTGAACTGGTTGAAATAATGGCCAAAATGATTAAGATACATCTGAATTTACCTTAAATGTGTGTTTGAGGCCAAAGAATCTGCAGATTTTCAGACTTCAAGGTTCCACCAAGTGAAATCACAGAGTAAAACACTTTAACCAACCAATTAGGAGCACCCACTCTAGTGTTTAAAGGAATACGTTAATACACTTACTCACTTTCTTGCATGGAGTTGGATGAGAAAGTCAATCTATCCATTCGAGACAGCTTAGTTTAGCAGTAGCTTCACAGTGAATGGACAGAGTGAAATATCGATCTCCTCATCTAGGGATGTCCCGATCAAGTCATTTCAAATTAAATTTCAGTGTATACTAGGTCCTGATCTAATACTTTAAAGTTATTAAAATCATATATTCTTGAGATACATCTGCTTTGCATACAAAATGCCTGCATCCAAGATGTTCCTTTAATAGTTGTAATTTTAATTTTTTTTGCACAATAAAATAAAAAGGCTGTCTCCAGGGAGTTTCTCTCCAGTGTTTGTTGCTTTAGTGTAGCCTTTATTTGAGTTACCTGAATAAACTGGATTCTGTTGAGTTTATTTTTGCTGTCTGTTCATCTTTTGCACTGATTACATAAAAAAAAGGACTCTTTGCTTTTGGCTCGCAGGGCTTTTATTGCACTTACACGAGCGTGGAGGGACAGGCAGCGGACAGAGTTGACACCTGAGAGTAAAAACACCTGTGTGACAGCTGACGTAAAACAAAGATCGGATGGGGCTCAATATACCAATCAGATTTTAAAAAATGACGTTAAACGGCCCAGATAAGACATTGGATCGGGACATCACTATTATCATCTAATTCTCAGCAGCAAAGCGAATAAGTGTATTTCCAACAAAACTATCTATTCCTTCAGTTAAAATGAAAATCTACTGGCTCTTGTTGAGCTCCTGAGCCCCTCACAAGCTCAATATAATGTGGACTGAGGTGTTGTGTGTGTGTGTGTGTGTGTGTCATGTGTTTTGTGTCATGTCAAACAGCCACCAACGTGAATCACCCGGGCTGTCCTCCCCAGTCTCGCTACGTGAGAGGGTTCAACCATCCATGTGGTTGCATCTGTGTCCCCATCTCAGGGTGAGTACACTAACACACACCAAACAAGTACAGTGTGTGTGTTTCAAGAGGATATTCTGGCCAGAGTTAATCTTCACTGTACTACTTTTTTGGTATCACAGTTTGTCTGTTTGTGTTTGTTCCACTCCATTTCCAGAGAGCCCAACAAAACCCAGGTGTTTAGTTTCTTCCAGACGGACCTGGGTGGCTTCCTCCCTCGCTCCGTGGTCGACTCGTTCTTCCCCTCCAGCATGGCTGAGTTCTACGGCAACCTGACCAAGACTGTCAAATCCCTCAAGGACCTTTGACACCAAGAGTTAAGAAATCTGTCTTCAGACCTGAGGTCTACTGATAAGTCAGGCCAAACGTTCATTCCATTTTACACTGAGATTATCCAACTATCGCTTATTTCAAATAGATCTAATCCACGATTTATGTTTAATGTGCATTCCTATATTCCTGTGTTACTGCAGGAGAAATCCAGTAACAACAGTCAACCCCCTCATTTGAAAGCGGTCTAAATATTGAAAATTCTCAAAATAAGAATAAGGGCTTGCTCTTGATAAAATGAAAATAGATGCAAAATCTATATTTATACATGTGCTAAAAGTACAGAAAATTTTGTCTTTTTACCAGAATGATAAGACACCGCCAACATTTCCTCTGCTTATAATTGCATACTTCAGTGTGTACAGTAAACATGCATGTTGCATGGACCTTATTTACCCTATGCTGGTATCAGATTATTGGTTTGGAGTACTACTGACTCATACCTCATATTTAGTTGTTTGTGTTGTACTTGAAATGCCATAGTTTTGCTCATCTCCACTGAACTGTAAACCATGAATATCTGCCTCTTTTCTCAGCTACACTGAAGCACAGGTGGGATGGCACCGGTGGCCTTTTTTTAAACAAAGGTAGCTTTTTCTTTTTTTCCTAAAAGAACGCCTTTTGAATTTGACATGTTTAGTGCTGCTCTGTTGAGCTGAAAAGTGTCCTCCCCTTTTTTTCATGGCATTGGTTTCTGAAGGACATTTCCCCTTTCCTTTTCTTCACACACAATAAGATCCCATGTAACATTCCTTTTTTAGATACAATAAGAAACACGATTTAGGATATAAAATAATGCGATCGCACTAATAGGCTGATGTTTTCAAGACATCGGGCTATTTTATTTAGTAGGTGCTACTGTAAAAGTGAGTACTGGGAAGAAGTGGTGCACTTAGGAGTTTTGTTCCTCTCAATATAAAACTGTTCCACTGCATAATTATGGATCAAGGATCAAGGTACGTTAGTCTTAAGTAACCTGATACTTGAGGTAGTCAAAAGGAGACACGGTTAAAGTGAAAATGATACAAAAATGCACCGATATAATATTTCTCAACAATATTATGGATAGTTTCATGGGTACAGTAAGGTAGACTGAAGCTCTTTATTGCTTCAGTCTACCTTGGTCGGATCCATTTTAATGTACTTTCTTTATTTGGGGCTAGTCCCTTTATTGAAAAACACTTGGCCAAAAAAACTCACTATTGTGAATACTTAAAAGTCTAGTTCTATGTTAGGGGAAGGGTTTCTGATAAATAAAAAAAAAGGTTCTAATTTTATTTAGTTTCCGTCCAATTTGTGTGTGTTGTACGATTATCTCTGAGCTAAACTGTCTGTCAGTGGAGTCTGGTGGGCCACAGTGCCCAGTTAGCTTTGTTCTGAGATGCTGGAGCTCTAGTGCGACAGCTAGTGGCAGTGAATTTTGTTTATATAACCTACAAGTACATTTTTGATTAAACTTACATACTTTTACTTAAGTAATGTTTTAAATGCAGGATTCCTTAATGGAGTATTTATACAGTACTGTTCAAGGTTTATACTGGTATTAGTACTTTTAATACTTCACCACTGCCTTTGTTAGATAAGAAAGTCAGGTTTAAGCCTAAAGTAGCTATTAAATGATAGATTTGCTTTCCATGTGATGGAATATGTTGTAGTAGTAGTAGTCAGTTTGTTAATCCAGTTCCAGTATGTACATGATATGTCCAGTTAGTCCAGTTTTATTTTAAAGCGACCTCACTTATTTGACACTGTAGTCCATCATAGTTCTGTATGGGGGGGAAAGAAATGAGGAAATGTCCTTGTGGAACTTGAAGGGGCCATTGATCAGAGTATTTCCACTTAGTCTTTAGTTCCTACTCAACACTTTAGGACAAATAATAATAATAATATAAATAATAGTAATAACTGGACAGAGGTCCATCCACACTGAGCATTGGCTTTATTTATATCATGTCTTGTTTTTGAACGTAAAGACTCTTTCAGGTCCTCTGTAACTGCACACTAATATCAAAGCTTACAGCACTTGAAAGAAACATTCTAAAATCATGTATGTATTTAATAACTTAACAATGTAAAAGTTGATTCCGTATTATATTTACATACATATTGTATACGAAATATACAAATGTTAGTTATTCCACAACTGCCAGAATCCTCTTCAGGTATTCAGAAAAAACAGGCATCACCTCAAATGTACTGTACTCATTTCAGTCTTCACACACTGAGGCTCACCACGGTATGAAATAAGAAATTGCACATATTGTAAGCCTTCCCTTCATCACGGCTGAAGTGGACAGTTCCTTAATGATAACCTAGGGATTTTCTCACTGAGTTAATTGGATTAAATGTATTGCTTGAACATGTTCAGAACTTTATGAAGAAATCCCTCAGTGAGCGAATAAAGACGAGTATGTGAGTCAGGGAAGGCCGGATGAAAGATTTGATTAGTGTGTTGCTGTACCCACTTCTCCAGAGCCTTCATCTGTATGATAAGCCATAAACTGTAGGATGACATGTTTTAACTAGTCTTTCTTAGGAGTATCAGGATTCCTTTACAAGTGTTTTGGCGCTTTACCTGTATCATGTTTTTACCTCACAGTGTAGCCAGTAATCTTAATGAAAGACCTCTTAACCGCATTCCACCAGTTCCAAACCATGTGAGATTGAGATGTTATTGCTTCCATGTGGATCTACAGGCATTTTCATGTGTGTGTTGTTTAAATGGAGCCAGAAGGTTTTTTTTATGTGAAATTGTGTCAGCAGACGTATAGGTAGCTGCTAAAGTAGAATAAACAATTCATGAGGAGCACAAAGTGAAATCAACACTTTGCAATTCTGCATGCATTTACACATGCAATAACCTTTTTCCTGATATAAAGCCAGATACAGATCTTATGTACATTCTAGATGGAAATGGGTTCCTTGTCCAGTTTATAGGAAGCGTCTGCTGGGTTGTCTGCAGAATCACCAGCAGCTTTTTCACCAGATTTCTACTCATTTCCAATCTAGAGCTGCAACTATTAGTCAATTAATCGATTAGATATCAATTATTAAATTCATCGCCAAAGAAAAACGGTCCTAAATGTTTTTGGTTTCAGCTTCTCAAATGTGAATATCTTCAGTCTAGTAAACGTAATATCGTTTGGGCTAATGGTCTGGATTGTTTTCAAAACAAGACATTTGAGTAGCTGATAACCTAATAATCAACCACATCTAACATCACATTTAGACATCACTATTGGTAACAACAACAAACAACAGTTCTGACTCTTCAAATGTTATTTTTTTCTAGTGAATCAAAAACATAAAACATTATTTGGCTTTCACAGAACATAAATCAAACATTTTGCATAAGAATTCAAAATAAATTATTTTCAACCAATAATTCATCTGCTTTAATTATTGGAATAATGCATAATATGCATTTCCCATTATCGCATCCCATTATTATCTCTCTGCTTCTGAGGATGGACTTTGGGAAACAGTGATCAACATTTTCTGACAATTTATAGACCAAACAAGTAATCGATTAATTGAAAAAAAATGATCGACAGACGAATCAATAATGAAAATAATTGTTTGTTGTGTTAAGCCATTCTCTGAAGCTGTAAGCTGAAGTCCTGTGACGACAGCAAACAACTGGAAAATAGATTTTTCTTGAAAATTGGCTCAACCTAAACAAACGGAGCAGCCTGGGATTCTGTATTGATTCACCCTTTGTGCATTCTCTGACCTCAGTGAACTTTGGCCAACAAGCATCTCGCTGTATCCACAATGAGGAGGCGGTCATAGAGCATGTAAACTATGGCAGCCAGTCCTGGTTCAACCCTTTAAGTATTAGATAGTGACTGTGATGGAGTTTTTGACCACCAATGAGACCAAATACCCAAAGTCTTGTGTTCTGTGATTGAGAAACCAATCCAAAGTTCCCTGTGTGCACTGTTCTGGCAACCAACAACCAGCTCAGACAGTTCTTGTCTCCTGTGTTACACTAGTTCAGTGGTTCTCAAGGTTCTATTCCCCCTTCAGAAGTGGAAAAAAGTTCACGCCCTCCACCCCACAATTTATGACCAATGTAAGCAACTAAAACAGGATCCAGGCTGAATTTGAATTTTAAAACTGTTATTAAACTGTTATTTTCCTACATAAATTACATTAATTCAACCTAGTTTCACTCCATATTTCCCCCTGGTCATCCCTGCCCCCCACAGTTAAAGAACCACTGTACTAGCTGCAGGTTGTCCGGTACGGAAGAGTATTAGGGCCACATGTGGAAAATGTATTTGGTTTGTAAATTGCAAGTTAAAAATAAAAGTCACGATTGTGACACATGGCCCTAATCCTCTTCCGTAGTCCGGAATACACGTCGTCTTGGGTAATTTAATGACTGGCACAACAGAATATGTATATTGATCCATGTGAAATGTTTATAATTTTAATCATCTTACTGAGAGCAACTGCTACTGTTTTACATGTCTCGTCAGAACACATGAAACTGTTTACCTTGTACTGTTTCTGCACCCAGTTAGTTTTGTATTTCACCAGCATTAAAAGGATTAATAGGAACATTTTGATGTCCATCACTTGTTATCTTCTGTAACTTAAAAAGTTCTCACACTTGAAAAAGCCATCTACAAACTTGGAGAATGAAATATCACACAGATTCTGGCTCAGTTTTCAACACTTTTATACACGTTATGCTCCAACACGATATGTAAATTGTTTTTTTTTTTAAGTTCACTGTAATAGAAAACATTTGTTGTGTGGTTGCATACAGAGACAGTGTAAGGGCGCAGTGGGACATTTTGAGCACAGTAGAAGACACGGCACGTGAGCAGGGTGCTAAATGAACTTGTTTTGTCCACCGGCAAAACGGCTAGTAGATGTTCAAATTTTAGCAGCCACTCAGTAAATTACATTGTTTTTTTGGCGGGTGAGTGAACCTCCTGCATATTTTACCAGAATTTGGCTGGTGCTAATTTTGCATCCTGAACGTGAGTTAAAATGATCACCACAATCAAAGAAATCTCTTGCATACCCCCTGCTCTACACACTCTTTGCTACAAACTTGTACAGTACAGGAGGGACTGACATCATTTCTCTTAAAAATGGAATTTGTGTGCTTGCAAAAAATCTTTCTGTGCTAAAAATGTCCCGTGCGTGCTCACGATTTAGACACAAAACTCTAACATTCCATTGAGGCAAACTCAAAGCTACAGAGTCAACCAAAGTGCATTATACTGCTTGATCTTCCGTTTCCAAATACATACAGTAACACTGCTAAGAAAAATAGACCTTTGCTTTCATATATATAATTCTCTTCTTTTACTTGGAATCCATATTTAGTAAACATACAGCATTAAAAACAACACTGTACTTCAAACACATGACTGCTTTAATCAACCCAGCACAGCAGTGTCACAGATGTGTTGCTGAGCAGTTGAATTGGGTTGCATTGGTCTGCACAGGTGTTGCCTTTTACAGGAGTTCTTCCCTTCTCTCGTCAGGTTTGTGCAAATGTCTGAACTGAATCAGACTGAGCCGAGTTGTAGACTTCAGGACTGATTTGTAAGGCGGGGGCGCAAATAATGTGAGACCACCTGCCTCACATTAGCTGAAATCAGTCTTAGATGAAATGTTAAGTGGCTCACATGGTCTGATTTGTGGCTTGCTGTTTTGTGCTGTGATGGATACAGCTGATAAAATTGGAAGTGTGCTACTCCAATGTCAGGTTGCAAAGCTGTTTACCAATATCTTAGGCCTAAAACTGCTGATACCATTTTGTTTTGTTTTTTAATAGTGTTTTAGGGGAACTTTTACTGCCTCTTACATGACCATAGTTTTGGCCAATATAAACAAAATTGCTACATATTTAGGGAGGAGGCGTCATGGAGAAAAATAAAGCAAATTAGTTTGCGCAATTTGTAGCATGCATGAATTAATGACCCATTAGCCAAATTACTGTTTTCAGGGCATTCTAAAAAGTCTAAAATTTTATAATCTGACTTCAAGGCCTTAAAATATCTTGATTGGATTAAAGCTGCAGTAGATCGATTTTTTTTATATATATATATATATATATATATATTTTTTTTTTTGTCTCATTTGCTGAATCTTTATATATATATATATATATTTTTTTTTTTTGTCTCATTTGCTGAATCTTTCACTATATCCTGACAGTAGAACATGAGACAGATAATCTGTGAAACGATTAGGTTGCTCTGGCTCCTCCTAGTGCTCCTAATGGCATTTGTAAGAATCCACCGGGCCTGAATGAAAACATTTTTTCAAATTTTTCAGTCTGGTTTAAAATGTGTTTTTAAATAGGGATGCACCCACATATCAGTTGACATTGTATGGGCCAATATTCGCCTTGTTGACTGACCTTAGCCTATCAGCAAATAAGATGGCATTCAGCGATATCAGTGGCAGTTGTTCATTTGTTGTGTCGCATCAATTTTGCATTGGCTAAATGTTGTGATGGATGATGAAATCATCACCTTTTCCAGCCCTGGCACAATTTGCACACATACCGCTGTGCTCCCGGCAGCAGCATAGACAGTGAGCAGCTGTTTAGCTCTGACTCTCACAGCTTGGATGAGTAGAGAAAAAGCGACAGGGCTCCCACGCATCCTGGAAAGTCTGGACATGTAGAGACGAGACCTCGAGTCATGGAAATGCCTTGGAAATGGATTAAAACGACCAAATATCCTGAAAAATATTAATTGTATTTTAGTCCCTTCCTCAGATTGCCTACGTAAGCAATTAGTAGCTGCTTGGTGTGACACAAGTGGGTTAACCAGATGTGAAGTAGAGCAGAAAAAACGTTTTAAACGCTCTTTTCTTTTTGACCATGTCAGTCAGTCTAGCTGTTCACAGCAGACACGGAGTTGAACGGACTTGCAGCAACCTTTTTGGCCTGAGGCTCTTCATCATTAAAAAAGGAGGCATAAAACAGGAGTTAAAGTCAATGCTAGGTCTACCGGTAACTAGGTAACTGCTCTCCTGAACTGTAAAGAAAAACTCCTGGAAAATGATTTCTTAAAAAGAGTGGGAACCCTGGACTAAGCTGCAACCAGGCAGAAATGCCAATTCTGTAGATATCTTTGTTTTCCTGGCAAACAGGGTGAATAAATAACAACAGAAAGACAGCGGTGTCTCCATCGAGTATTGGCCCAGGATTTCACAATCGGTGCATCCCTAGTTTATGAGAACTGCTTGTGTTGATCATGGTGTAACATTACAGCCCTACAGATGTTTTTCCCCAGGACACCGGCCGGGCTCTGTATTAAACAACAACAACAACAACAAACACAACAGCAGTAGGACAGTCCACAGACCTCTGTCAAACTAACACTGGGACTGTTATCTAATGAAGGTGAGGTCTGCAGATGATTCACAGTAAGTGGGACACCAGTACCAGTCTAGGTAAGTGAGAAAATGTGGCTTTTGGGTGAACTGACCCTTTTAATAAACTTTAATATCTGGTCAGAAAGGTGAAATAAAAATAATAGGAATGCATTTGGAAGTTGTCCTCTGAACCACCATGTCTAAGGCGGACCACCATGACATAGCTGATACCTGATTTCTATGAGACTGTTAATGAAAGGCCGGCATCAGTGTACCTGGAGTGTTATTGTTTCTTTTCTTTGGCCTCTTCGTTGGTACGCAGCTCCCAGCAGCTGTGTGTCACTCTACCGCCCCCTGCCTCCTACTGTAGACCACTGCGATGGATCCTTCCGGTAAAGCCTTGATCATGTTCCAGGCCTCAAAACGGGTCATGTCCTGCAGACTGACTCCCTGGACCTGAAGCAGCTGATCTCCATGCTGAAGACCGCTCTGTTCCGCTGCTCCACCTGACAGTTGTTTTTTAAAGCAAAACAAAGACGGTTTAAATTTTTTTAAATGTTTTTTTTTTTTATAATTATTATTATAGGTAAAATGACTGGTTTTGTTAGTGGAGTCTGGTTGGTCCCAGATATTGTCTGAGATGCTGGTGCTCTAGTGTATAATGAAGTCATGCTGTGTAATGTCAGCATCCTGAGTGTACCTTTAAAGATCCTGTTGATGACTAAAGGTCTGTCTCCCTGGATAGAGCCTTTCCCTCCCTCCAGAGTAAACCCAACTCCTCCAGCTCCTTTCTCCAGCTCCACGCTCACTGGAGTTCCCTGATCCTCCACTGCAACACAAAGCACCATGAAGTTAACATATTACCAGGAGAGGCTCAGACACTTGAGGTGTTAGGAGTGTGTGTTGTTGTATGACTTACCGTCAGGGATGGGCTTTTCGCTCCTGCAACCTCCTCCCTCTCCTTCCTCCTCTGCCTTTTTGCTGACGACCACCACAGCCAGCTTCAGATTGCGGGCCTGACGCAGAGCATCAGTGGCGTCGGCGTGTGTGAGACCGCGCAGTGTTTGTCCATTAATTGACAACACCTCGTCTCCTTTCTGAATGGTGCCCTCATGAGCCGCCAGGCCGCTGGGAAACACTCTGTGGACCTGGATGAAGACAATCAGTGTCACACACAGTGGCAGAAAGTGTACAATGCAGAGTAGAGGGGTCACTGGCAGCAGGGTTGGTTATGGTACGTATACGGGGGCTTGCTAGCATGCCTTTTATTCTCTCGCATATATCTTCAAATGAATAAGATTAATACTGTCGGTCAGATCAAACTGACAGCTTGGTCTTCGATGTGTTCTCTGTTTCACACTTGAAACGCTTCTGATTATTCACAAGCAAAAACACCCTGATACACTATCCCCTGACCAGAAAGCCAGGACACTTACAGTGCATCTCCAAATTCTTGCTAAGGGTTTCCTGATGGTCAAGTATTATTGTCTTACAGTATTTGAAGAGCCAAACTGACTTTATTCCTACAAATTACTCCTACAAAATGCTGTCATTACCAAGTGCACAACACTAAATCACATGCTCAGTCCTCAGTGTACAATATTAGCACCAGTTTCACTTAGAGCCCCACCGATATGTCATTCCGGTGATACTATCAGCCAATATTGGCCTATGTGTTACCTGATATGCACTAGGGGTGTCTTAAATATTGTATTGATTTTCAAAAACACTGTATTGACTAATGTTTAAACCTCCAACCTCTAGATAGCCATGTTATAAATGTAACCTGAGGGCTATGATGTTGATGTTACAGACACTGATAAATACAAATGCAGATCTCACTGTTCTGATTGCATAAAAAAGGTTTACTTTTTCCCTGTGAGTTTTCCTAAAATTTGACTTTTTTAAAAAATTGGAATATATGAGCTAGTTTACAGTATTGCAATATATGGCAACATATTGAATTGTTACCCCTGTATTGTGATTTGTATTGTATTGCCACATATATATATATATATGAAAACTGTTTTTTCCAGTATATAATGCAGAAAAAAATTAGTGTAATAATATATTGGTGTCACTGCAACGTTTATCCAGCAGAGTGTGCTGTGATTTACAATACTGTGGCAAACAGAACAGAGCAGAGAAAAAGAGAAGAAGCAGCTCTGAGCAACAATTAGTTGACTCGATTAGTCAGTTCAATTATTTAAGATGTTAAAGTATATTTATCTTAAATATTAGTTAATAAATGTATTTCTGTAAGAAAGCAGCTTTCTGAGTACCTTCGCAGAGTCATATCTGTGCACAGTCCACATAGAAAAGCTTTAGTTTGATTGCTTAATACGAAGTCTAAAGAACAATTACAATTACAATTACATGTTTGCACGTTTTTTTCACTGAAAAAACAAAGTGAACACTCTTCTTGTTTTCTCCACAGGTAAGGCCTTTACATAATAACTGAGCTACTAGATACTGACCTGTCTCTCCTAACAAGTAACTTGTTACTACAGTAATGTAGGACTTACTGTAAGATAAAGTCAAACTCTAGACTACATATCTCTGTTTACAGTATAGGATATATATCTATACCTACAGTAATACATTGCATTTATATGTTAGTTAGAATCTTATTGAATCTTCTGTATGTTCTAATGTGATCGGTATGAATGTGTAGTGAGTGCTGCTCACTATAGGAGCTTTGCTCTCCAGGTCAGACCCTCCAGCGATGCTGAAGCCCAGACCAGCTCCCTCCTCTTTATGCAGAATCACAACATGGATGTCCACCAGTTGCTGTGGAAAAAGACGTACAGTAGAGTTACATCATGTATGATCAGCTCAGATATATTACTATGAAGGGACTTTGGGCCACCAACATCTTCCACATGTGATTATACACAGGTTTAATTACCTTCAGCGTCTCTTCGTCCAGAGCTTTGACTTCCTGGATCATCTCCTGTATCTCCTCTGAAGGGATGGCTGAGATGACAGAGTGAACACTAGCAGAAGTGACGGCTGCGTCGTCGTGAGATCCCCCCTCCCCTCGCTCGATGGTACACTCCCTCAGTGTGGCCAAGCTGCATTTACAAGACAAAAGCACATTAGATGTGGAGATGTGTAAAGACACCTCTGAGCATCGTGCGTGCTAGCAGTCTATAATGTGCTGCATATAACAACTGTTTTGACAGTAAAAACTTGCCACTGCTTCTCTGATAAAACAGGAAGTCATGTTTTTTTTTTTCAACCTGAACCCACTTCCTTATGAATATAAAGCAGGCACAGTGCACATTCTGAGAGTCCCTGTTTAACCTCTCTTCGTCGCAGACGTCTTACCTGACAGAGAATCCTCTGTCCTCCGCCTCAGACTCCTGAGGGTTCGTAACATCCACTGCAGGGGGGTCCTGCAGGTTTGAGGAGTGAGGGTTACCATGGCAGGGGTGCGTGGGTAGAGAACGCATAAACGCCTGTGAAACCTGGAACAAAAGCAAAACAACACAACACATAAAATGGAAAAACCGTACCAAAGAGTATGAGGACTCTGCAAAGACAAACACAATAACATGTCTAAGTTCAGAGTTTTGAGAGAATATTAAGTCTATTAAGAAAATTAAGTGTCATACAATATTTATAGGTACAAATAACAGCAGAACACATTGAGAGAAATAAAAATACACATTAAAATAAGTAAAAAAAAAAAAAAATACATATTAAATATGAAACAAATGCAGGAAATAAATTAGATTTCACAGCCTTTTTGGGGATTTCACGAAAAAGTGCAATGCATGTTGTGATGTTTTCAGGCATTTTTTGCAATAGGATGGCAGGTGAAAGTGAAAATTGTAAAAGTAGTTTTGTATAATTTATTAAAAATCAAAGGAAACTTGTTCCAGTGAGAAAAACATCTCTAGTAGTTTGGTGACGTATGGCTTAATGTTTTGCGATGATTTGCAATTATCTATGTAAAGTTATATCATATAAGTTATATACTGTTAATGGTCAGGCTGTACAACATACACTTTGAGGCACAACAGATTGTGCATAGAATAGTTTAAAAATTAAAACTGTGAGATAGAAATGTAATTTAAAATAACTTCTGTCATCTTATTAGGAATTTACTTTAATGTTGGTCAAAATGGTTGTACATGGAGAGGCTGATATTTTCTGAGGTGGCACACGGCGTAAAAGGTTCAAGAGACACTGGTAGAGATAATCTGGATGAACTGTTCTGACCCATCACAATTTGTTACAACACTGTTCCCAGATCTACTTCAGTGATTATAATGTTCATAACTGATGGAAATGATAGACAGACTTACTCAAATAAGACCAAAGTTGTACCCTTGAAGCAATATTCAAAGTATATTCCCGTAGTTCCACACATGACCGATTACCTGGTTACTGAAGGCGAGGATTCTCCCTAAACTCTCTCCCTCCAGGCCTCTCAGGGGCTGACTATCTGTGGATGGGGCAGCACTCAGAGTCGTGCTGGCCGGCTTTCCTGGGCTCTCTGCTCTGTCCCCCTCCGTCCCCTCCGGAAGACTTCTCCCTTCAGTTTGGCTGGATCTCATAGCAGGAGGTAGGACCTTGGACTCTGTGGACCTGCTAAGATCCAGTCTTTCTAGCTCAGACTTTGATGGTAAGTCATTCCTGTCATCATGGACTGGAGCTGAATCCTGTATCCCTGAGTTCAGATCAGTGCTGACAGTGTCAGAAAGTGGGAGATCTGTAGGGGACTTGATGGGGGGAGATTCGTCTTCAGAGGATTTGGTTGATGTTTGACAAGCTTCAGAAGTGGAGGTGGTGATAGCGGAGGTGTCCGTCTCCCTAACAGATGCAGACTGGTTTTCCTGGATCTCTTTGGGGATTTCATCTTTGCCCTTCCCATAATCTCCATGTGAGGCAGGGTGACTCCTGGACTCCTTCTCCATCAGAGGAAGGGAGGTGGAAGGTGCCACAGGCTTCCTGTTGCCCTCCTTCTCTGGACCGTCTGAACTGGAAAAGGTCTCAAATGAATGGATTTTTTGTTTGATTGACAGGTTGGTTCCAGATGAGGCAGATCGGACTCCGAAGCTTCTGAAGCCCACAGCAGGCCTCTGCTCTGTGGGTTTAGCTTGCTTCTTCTGGCCCTGCTCATCCCTAATTTTCTTCACACTCTGGCGAAACCAGGTAGGCTTAGGCGCCACTGGGGGCCCTTTCTTTGCTCCTAGAGAAGTTTCAGATGTGATTTCGGGAGTCATGTCAGATGGAGGATCTGAAGTGGTCTCTGCGGCTGTGCCATTGAGCTCGGGGGTGTTCTCTTCGTCACTCATGGTGGCTGGCTCACTGTGGGCGTTCTGACGCTGCGTCCTGTCTGCAGCGTGGTGGCAGCAGTGATGGCGGTGGATGTCGGGCAGCTCTTCAGGGGAGCTGTCTGAGAGGCGAACCCAGGGGTCCTGAAGCTGCTCTTGGCTACGCTGGTCAATGCGGGCCTGTCTCCTCAGAGCGCCTCTCTTTGGCTGTGAGCAGAGCACAGCTGGTGGATTGCCTGTCCACGGAACACAGAGAGCAGAAACATCTGAGACATGGTTGTGTGTTTCAAACATTTTCATGAAACAAACTCATAGACACACATAGACAGACTCATTGTAGTCTAATGGCACACACACATTAAGGCAGTTTATCAGCTGTTCAGGAGAACAGCTGATAAACTGTACAATGAACACAAACAGTGAACACAATATCTGCAGGAAGTTTGTGTAAAACCAGAGAATTGGATGAATTTTGAGCAGATTATTAAATATTGCAGTTTTAGGGAACTTTTTGTACAATTCTCTGTCTTTATTTTATTTTTATTTTTGACAATCGTAACTACCTAATAGGTTTATTTATTTAGACAAATTCAGTGTTTTAAAGATTGTGTTCAGGTCTTCAAAGTTTATCTTAAATAATAATCTAAACTTAAAAAATTTATTTAGTTTTCTTACACAATGTCCAGATGAAAGTTGCATTTTAACCCTTTTAAGATTGCATCCTATTTAATAGCCCTATTTAACAATATAAAATTCAATTTCTTTGTACTTTTATATAAAAATCAGATCTTTCTTCTTCCTGTAAAACGAAATGTGATGTGTGCTTACATCAGCACGTACAAACCGATTTCGACCAATAATATTATGACATTCACCTGTCAATCAATCTTCAACTTTTAGCCACACAGAGCGATGCTAGCTAACTAACAGCATGGCTAGCTAGTGGGGCTCACTGATTACTGTACAAAGACACAACTTTAGTAGTGATTTGGGTGAAACTGGGCCCACTGCAGGTGTTAGCCCTCTCTGCAATGTGCCATCAGCTCCGCAACTGTCTAGAGGGAAAGCTGAGAATTCACTAAATTCAGTGGAATCACCAGTGACATGTATACTGTCAGAAAATGTTGAAACATTAGTCCATTACCAACCACAGCCCCCCCAGTAGGGGTCAACAAAGCTTCATGGGGGGGTCGCAAGGTTTTGTTTTTAAGGCCTGTAAGAAATGAGAATAGGTCTATATCTCAGCAACTGGTTTCACTTCTGTGAAAAACATTAAATGTAAAGTAAATTGTCAATTTGGAACAATGGCCAAGCATCAGGGACAAGAAAACTGAACTGAATTTGTCAGAAAAGACACCTATTAAGTCTGTATGATTGTTAAAAATGATAAAGAAACAATTGTATAAAAAGTACAAATTTCTTGCAGAATTTACTGGTTGGGTTTATGAGTTTTGAATATAATATGAAATATCCCTTGAGGACAAAGGCTGGGAACTATACTCTATACTATATACTATACTCTATACTACTATACTCTATACTACCCAAGAGGCTTTTTTGTTTGTAAAACGTGTCTATGGGGCAGAGTTTAGGGGGCGTGGCTAAGCAATTATGCAATTAATTGTGGAATAAAATAATAATAACCTGATCAGTTTCAATAGGGCCTAATTATCATGTTATATATTTTGTTATAACAGTATAAGTTATGTTAGAAAATAAAATGTTTCACTTTATAACAAAATACACAGTATATTTATGAGGCTGGGTCGCAAAGATTTTATTTAGGTCATAAATACATTTGCAGAATTTCTTCTTCCGGCTAAATGCACATATTTTTACTCATTTATAAAGTATTTAAAATGTGTTCATTGTTTTACTGATGAGAGGAATGAAAAACAATGAGACAGCCTATTAAATGTGCTCAAATGCATTCATTAAGTCTTATTTATAATGTATTTGACGCGAGTGAACAAATTCATAAAACAAAGTTGTGATTTATCAAATGAATATCTCTTCAATATGGCTGCTTCATCTGTTTAAGAAAATTTCCTGTGATACATAAAGAGCAGTAAAATACGTTCAGGAACCTTCATTTATGCACACATTTTCTCTCAATGTGATTCTGATCCGTTTTTCTCTTTCTGGTACAGCTATACACTTCCATGATAAGCGTTTTTTAATCGAAATTTCACTTTCCCCCGACCATGGCCCTAAAATGACATATACCATGAGAGAGGATTTTAATCATACGGCCACTCCTGCATGTATAACGGTCTGATGGGTGTGGTAAATCTGGTAATACTACATACAGCCAGGACAATTTCAAATGAAGTAAATCATACTAAATTTGAAGTTAACATTGTAACTTTTGCTCGAGGAGCCCTGTGAGTGTAACTGAAGCAGGTGGTCATCAACCTTGCTGCAGCCCCAGTTGAACTCCACCGTTACACCCTCATTGAATTTTATTTACTGACACATAAAAAGCCGGCCTCAAACAGGAAATGGAACCTATGTTACTTTCAAGTCAAACACTGATAAGCACAGCACCATCTCCTGCACGCTGTCACACTGTTGAGTTAACTGCATGGTTAATCAGCTAGTCCTGAACTTGCATTCAGGTGGTTTCGTGTAAGGTAATAGCACTTGTCTCCTACCTGTGTGTAGTCTGTCGTTGGTGCAGGCCGCGCTGTCTGGATGGGTGAAATCTTCTTTGCTCCCCTCTGACTGTTCTCTTATTCGTTCTCCTTCCTGCTGCACAAACAGGAAGCATTGTGTCACATCAGCTTCTCTAGCTGCAACCACAGAGCGGTGCAATAATGTACCGTGCTTCCGCTCAGACATTCATCACTGCTGCTACTTTCACACTTTCATTCAGCCAGTAACAGGCCCATAAGCTGACCAGCAACGAGCTTGATGCATACGCACAGGGGTTAAAAGGGATCTGTGAGGAGGTGGAGCCCTCGTCCAATGATATGGGGTGGGCTGGTTTCCAGACGGACTATTTCTGAACTTGACATTGTGTCCTGTGGATGTAGATTGTCCAGAGTAAAAAGGGTACTGTTTCTGGAAAGAGATGTAGCTGCTGATTTTCCTAGATTTCACACAAACTCCACTACTGCAAATATTGTAGCTCAGCTCCAGTGCGCTTCGGCCCAATTTAACTCCTGCACACAGGCACATGGCATGCATTGCTTGCACTGCTTGCATGCTGACATGCACACAAACACACAGATATGTGTAAAAGCATGCATTATTATCATGATTGGAACATAAGATCGGTATTGTAAGAATCATATTATTGCATTTGGACTACTTATTCATTATGTCAGCTGAACAAAAACACAGTGATTCTTATATGAAATGAAAACAAAGCTATGAATATTATATTCCATTTCTGACAATAGATCCTCCTAAATGTTACACACTACACCTTTTAAAACATACTTTCTATTAAGACATCCATTATAAAGAGTTTGCAAGATGTAACTAGTGGCTTTATTATTGTTAAATAATTATTTACTAATGATTTATAGATCAGTTATAGGCCATTCATCAGAACAACTTCTGAGTTGCACGCTAGAAAATTGCCTCTCTTACAGTAAGCGTGTAAATGTTAAAAAGTTGTCCAAATGACACTAACCCTTAATAAAGCCTTCCATTACAACTTATAAACCCTTAAGTTGTACTGAAAACACATACAGAAAAGTACTGCAAGTAAACACTGCATTTAAAACAACTGACCCTTCCTAAGTCCTGCCTCTTCTTTTCTCTGTGCTCCAATAAGAGTTGAGCAAGCCTCAGTCAGAGCCTCAGTCAACTTTATTCTTGCCTGTACTTAGATATGCTATGTGCTAGGTTAATCCATGTTGAAAAGACAACCACATTTTTAAGATGGTTAAAAGATAAAAGTGACACATATAGTCCGATCTTAAACAGTTCACAAAAATATTTTTCTGAAAAAATTATAAGCGAGAAATAGGCAAAGCAGTAACAGAATCTTGCTTAGTATTTAATCAGCACTGTCTAGTTTAACAGTTTGATCTGAGTATGGTGCGCTGCGCTGGACGGACTCAGAGAATTACCTGTCAATCAAAAGGTAGCCCCGCCCAAAAGCATAAGCAGCTTTATTGTCTATTTTACTCTAAATCGGACCATCATTTACTAAATAAACATCATAATGTATGAAAAGAGATGTAAAACTAGCAGCTGAGACCCTAAACTCATCAGGAAACCGTTTACTGAGCTTATAAATGAACTTGACTCATTCTCCATTAGCATGAATGGGTTTGATGTGTTATTGCAGCCAACGGAGCCCCCCTGCTGGCCAGAAGCTCTGTCCATTATATATATACTGTCAATAACTGGAAGTTAGCTAATGTTAGCAAAGTGCTATGTGTTGTGTTTATCTATTAATCTTCTTCAAAAACACAGAGATCATAGCACACAGCATGTCTAAGTATAGTAAAGGAGAACGTTGACTTAACTGTCATTGGAACACAGAGTAAAAAGGAGGCGGGACTTAGGAAGGGTCAATGAATCTACCTATTATTTACCCTACTAAAATTCACCCTACTAATAAGGGTCTCGTTCTCTGTGTGAAAAGGCAAAATCAACAAATAGACTGGTTCCTATGGTTTCTTTCAGTTGTAGGGGTGTATTCCTGTTCCTGGAAGCAGCAGCTAGTCACCTGAATGGGGAAGATTCCGGGTAGGATGGGACATGTAATACCAATTGCTCTGCAATCATCCAAAAACTTGAGGAAAGTGTCTGCCCTGAAGAACAGCTGGGTGATGACAAAGTCTGCTCCAGCATCCACCTTATCCTTTAGGTGTCTCAAATCGCCCTCATAGCTCTCCGCCTCAGGGTGGCCTGTGGGGTATCCTGGAGATAGAAACATATTTAAATCACTGACTGATAATTCAAAAGTAGTTCCACTTAAACTGTCTACCCTCGCTGTGAAGACAGAAAACCTACCAGCAACACAGATATCAAAGTAGTCATCAAACTCTGACCGGATATGTTTAACAAGGTCGATGGCGTAGTTGAAGCCTCCCTCCTCTTCCTCCCAGTCTGCTCCCACTGGGTCTGCGGAGGTATCACAATATTCATATGTTATAAGGATCTCAGCTATGCTCCAATTTTATTCCCACTCTGATGTGGAATCATCCCCATTTTCTCATCATATCTGAGACTAACAATGCCAACGAAACAACAGGATCGGCATCAGGCCTGAAATTGTTGCCGATACGCGGATATCCGAACGGAGTATATGTTTTTTTTAAAAGTTCTGAGATGATGAACAAATGAAAATTCATGTACAGGACTTGGAAAATCATGGCAAACTGGGATTTTCGGAATGTCGTTCCTATTACGAAGGAACGTAATGAGTTGTTATGAATTCTTCCCCACAAATAATCACAGAGGGTGCGAGAGGTCTATAACCAATAAATAGGAAGCATAGTCTGGAGTAAACAATCTTTATCCAATAACTTCATCAATCGAAATACTTATGCAGATTACCTCCGCAGACCTAGTAGGTGAGCAGGACACTGGAAAGCAGTAGCAGACTCGGAGGGCGCACTCTCATCTAATAACATACTCGCCAATCTGCTGAAAAAGGCCTAATCAAATATCAAAACAGTGCTCGATCCTTGTCTGATAACCTTAGTATAGGTTGTACCAGGTCATGATGCATACTTGCCACTTGGGTATGTTACACTACATATCATCTTTATTTTATTAATCATTCCATTCCTTATTCTTATTGACCTCTTTGTCTCTGTCCTTGCAATTCTGTGGGTCTTTTGCTGGTAGGTTTCGTCTGTCCTTCACAAGCGTAACGCGTTTAAGCACATGTTAAACAAGTCGGAATTCCACCTCCCCAATAGTCAAATAGTGCTGCCACTATCGCGTGCCCAAACATAATACACATGCATTAGATCCCTCCACTCTACACCTAAGTATGTTTCCTATCTCAGATACCCACAGCACCTGAGGCGGAGAGCTGTGATCGCCACGGACTCCAACCTTTCGACTCTCGTAGCAGATCCCTTCTGTCATCTCTCACGCCACACGCTGACTTCATTCACACAGCAGCAACACCTAGACGGTATTCCTCAATATACATCGTGTTGGGATGTGCAGAGCAATTGATGGATATCGGGTCCCAATTACTTAGCGTCACGATCCCCAATATCTGCTCGACCTCTAGGGGGGTAAAAATTATTCAGTGACGCAACATAGCTGCTGTCAGGATACGAGATACCACCCGACAACCCTTAAGAAACCATAGTAACCAGTCTATTTGTTGATTTTGCCTTTCAACAGAAGAACAGAATACCCGCATAGATATTAGTAGGTAATAATTCTTTGAATATAGTCGGGGTGCATCTACACAAAATAGTATCCTCAGATTTCATATATCCTTAACTAAGTCAATCCCCCTAAAATGAGTCCACTCTAATAGTTTCCACCGTCAATAAAAGCAACGAAGGTATAAAAAGAAACAACTTCCCATAGTTTGTCTATTTAAAGTGCAAGAATCCACCGGGCCTGAATAAAAACAACCAACAACCCAAAAATACATATATCTGATTGTTTAGTTTGAATCCTAAGGATCAATAAACAGCTTATTCGAGGTGAGATGTGCTGGGAATGATAACTCAACAGAATCTATCTGAGTAATGAAGAATAGGAGTTCATAAGCTATCAATATTCCATCCATAATTCTAATCCTAGTAATCCTCTC